TGTGTTCCGACAAATATTAAACTGTGCTTGCCATTTGTCTAAGGAACCTCGCATTAATAAACATGAAGAAGAACACTTTTACCTCCCACTCTCAATGACGGGACAAAACAAAGACCAGCTGTATTCATCAATGGGTCCTTGTTCTGCACATAAAGGCTAATTACATTTTGCTTCAAGCCTACACATGGAAAACTTTACTGCTGCTGTCCCTGACAAAGTCAGCCTGCGCTGTCCCAGCTGACGCAGGGCGGTGACCGCACACAATGAACCAGGCTCTCTCGGAACAGCCCTGGTGCCTTCGACCTGCAGGCTTCTTTCCAAAACGGGGGTGAGGGAGGGTCACCCCGGTGACATCCCCCGGTGACGGAAATGCAGAGGCAACGTGGGCTCTTCAAATCCCATTGGGATTTGGGGCCATTAACGTCAACCTTCCCTGAGGACGGCTAATTTCAGAAACGCACAGCAAGCCCTACTGTGAGCTTGCTGGGCATAGGTTCTTTTTGGCGACAATAGAGTGGCTGATGGCCGGGGCGGGCTGTCACCGCGCTGGGGGCTGCCTGCGCACCTTCCCGTTACCCTGCACAGCCAGCCGGTCTCTTGACCGCCACTGTGCCCGCCCGTTGCAGGGTGAGGGCAGCGGGAGTGGTGGGCAGCGAGCTCCCCCAAGGACACATGGAGAGTCGTGGACCCCGCGACCCGCTCCGGGTCAGCCTTCTCCAAAGCCCCCACCCACTTCCTGCATTTTCTGTAACAAGTATTTAAGAATCCCTACTGTCACAGAGAGAAAATAAATTGTTGTGGGACATTTTAAGGCCATTTGTGAAAAGACTTGCCCCTGGAGGGCGTATATTCATAGGTACTGATGAAAAGACATGAAGTCTAATGAGATACATGGAGGGTGGGCGTGAAGGCGGGACAAACGTTTCCCAGAAAACAGATGAGGGGAGGGACGCGGAGGGGGAAGCTTCCATCTACATGGGATCTCCAAGACTGAAGCAACCCCCTGAAAGCTACAAGAAAGTAGTGATTATTAACTCAGTCCATTCTCCACATTTTTTGCGGATTACTTACTCTGGGAACCATGTACAGTCAGTGTTTGGCCCTAGGCTGCCTTTTTGTCAACAGCTAGTCCATTTCTGACTTGGGAAACGACCGAGCCCTGTGGGGGCCTAAGTCCACCCCCTTCCCCTCCCCCGGCCCCACACACACTGCGCCCACCTTGCCCCGTCCCCATGTCCGGCACTTCTGGCTGGCTCCCCAGGTCAGCGTGGCTGCCCTGTGTTTTCATTCCCTTTGCCTCCAGCAGCCCCTGGCTGGAACTCATCTTTCAACCTCAAACCACACGTCACCCCCTTCAGGAAGGCTTCCCTGATTACCCTTTCCTTTTGTTCGAGCTGGGTGGACTTCCCACTGGCCTCTGCGGAGTCTGGCCATGAGAGTCCTGGCACCAGGAAGCGGGGAGGGTGAGGTCAGGGGTCCTCTCAATGCTGCCGCATTGCCTCTGTGGTTTCCCTGCTCCCTGACCCGGGCTGAGTGCACCGTCTGGTTTCCGTGGACACCCTGACAGCACAGGGCCTGTCACAGCAGTGATCACACCGGATTGCAATGGCTCCCCACCCCCACCCTGCTGAGCCTTCTTTCTCAGGGCTTCCAGAGCCCAGCTAAGTGCCAAGCACAGAAGAGGCCTCCAGGAATGTCTGCTGCACCAACGAGTAGATCTATTCTGAGTCGTGCCCATCACGAGAGTTAGGCTTTTTCTCTCCACGCACAGCCGTATATGCCACACCTCTGGCTCCCTTCTCATCACCGGAGAAGGTGAGAATTTCCTGCTCGGATCCCGGGAGGGGACGCACCCCAAGAGTGCCCACGGCCCCATAAGCAGTTTTTAACAATAGCCATAGTCCCAAAGCAAAGCATTTTTACACGACAGAATAAGCAACTCTCATACTTTTTGATTCTACGTTCCGCTTCCTGTAGTTTGGTGAAAATGAGCAAGTAACGCATAGATTTTCATTTATATGGGGAAAACGCCTTTTTGGCCTTAAGACATGCGGATACAAAGAGAAAGAGTCTAGAGACGTTTTTCACTGAGCCCACACCAGTTACAACCACACCGTTTCTCGTCAGATGCCAGGAGGGTTGGAGCCTAGGAGAGGTCTAGGGCCTCTGAGGCTCCCCCCAGTGACCTTGCTGATTCAGGGGACCCAAGACTTAATGTTCTTACCTATAAAATGACAGAGCGGGCTGCTTAGGAAAAGCCCAGGAGTCAATGCACCTGTGAACAGTAACTAGAAAAACACTTTAGACTGAAAATCGTCCTCGTCATCTTAAGAGGTACCTCTGACCCTGTTCTAGGGAGCCGATTCCCCTGAGAGCAGGGCCCTGTCCTTGGATAACTGGTGGTTCTGGGTGAGAGAAGCGAGTCCTTCCCCAGCGTCAGCCCGGCCTCTAGCAAGGTCAGACAGGGTGGGGACAGACAATGAGAGACACTGCCTCTCTGGCCTGTCTCCCAGTTGCCCCCCGGGCCGCCATATTCTCAACCAAAGAAATGGAAACCTGTGAGCAGGGGACATTTAAGTCCTTCCTACATGGCTGTTCTCTGCTGCGTCGCTTCCTCAACCCCGAAAACAAACCGATTAAATGGACACACGTTTTCTACGTGGCCTTTAGAAGCCCAGTAAAAAATTATGAATATAAACCAGGGGCCAGTACTTAGCAATCATGTGACAAGTGGCATTATCTGCTGTCATTTCTGAACAGTTTCGGTAGACGCTATGTGTCACCAGGCCGATTCTCTCCCCTAAGTAGGTGGACGTTCGTGACTAACAGCATCTCCCCAGCGTGCCCCGCGAGGACACGGTAGGAGACATCGGCTTCTGAAAGTCAAGCTTTTGTAACACTCTCAGAGCAGTGGCTTTCAAAAGAAAATTCTGATTGAGATCCACTGGAAGAACTACATTCTACACTGTGGCCCAGTAACTGTACGTTTACATTTTTACAGTTAGACACACGATTAACCCAAAAGGGTCACAAAACAATACCCGACTTTCCTATGTGCCATGAGCCATGATATTTTCGACTCTATTCTGTTATTTTGTTTTCTATTGAATTTTACTGCCCAACTGGCTGGTCGCCACGCACTAAATGGATTTCACCACTGTGATACCCAGTTTCAAAAACGCTAGCTTAGAGGCGCTCAGAGACTGGTTGTACGAGCTTTTACATGCGTAGTAATGCAAACTTTGGTTAATTATAGAAACACAAGATGTATCTATGTCTTCCAGAAAGAGGTGTGGTTTGCTAAAAATAAAATATTGAAAACTAGTGAAATAAATAGATCACCACCGAAGTCACTATGAATTTTGTCAGTGAGTAAACTGATGTTAATAAGAAGGCATGGGCCAGAGGACCAGAAGGAACTATTTTAGAAAGGAAATGCTATAAATTGAGGACTGTATCAGATGGAACAGATACCGATTGACCTCTGTATCAGATGAAAATATTGTAACTTACAAAACTGGAATTTACTGAGAAAAACAACTACTATTCTACTTAGTAGATAAGGTCCAGACAGAAAGGATAGAAAAACAAAGATGGCGGACTGGCAGAGTAGGGAAGCCGGACGCGGATACCAGGGAACATCAGGGTGACAGCAGCTGAAACGGCTTCTGCGGAGCTTACGTCTAGGGGGGTGAAGGGGAGACGGCTCTGCACGTTTGCCACATCCCGTCGACAGCGACGCCCAGGTTGGAGAAGTTAATACGAGAGCCTCCGGGTCTCAAAGTGAAATCTCAACCAGCTATCCCACCCCTTAGAGCCAGCTCGTTCTACCTCACCTGAAGCCACACTTTAGCACACTGATAGGAGAGGGATCGCCCACGGGGATTAGATATGCCAACAGGCCGAGTCGCCGAGACTGAGGAAGGTATTTAGTCTTTGTGCGGGAATTCTGGGCTCACGATCAAAGTTGGTTTTGAGCACCAGGCCTGGGTAGGTGGGCGCTCACAGTCTGGAGCTACTAACTCACACAGAGCAAAGGCAGAGAGCCCACCGAGAGAGGCCCCGTGAGCAGCAGGCCCAGCAGCAACCTTGAAGGCCAAGGGCGAGTGTGATGGGACAGAGGGACGCCCTATGCAAAACAGGAGCCTCGGAGGGGGTGCACTATTCAGAGCCCCTGCCCGCTACCCAGAAGGCCCGCTGTGGGAGCACAGCAGGAGGACATGGGTCTCTAAGGGGGACAGGGGGACCCTCCCAGGACAGGAGAAGGCGAACCAACGCCTTGCCTGGTGCCGCCTGTCTGGACTTCGGCAGAGGAGAGTGTGGCTAGGGACAACCTCTGTTGCTTCTCCACCTCTCTTGACTTATGTCAATACTATTCCTTCTTTTCTGGTGTTCTGCAGGGAGAGCGGGCTGGAACAGGTGTCCCTGTGGCAGATCACACACTTCCTTCCGCCACAGCGACCTGTGACATACCTGCCCAAATGCACGCATTCCCGGCGTATACACAGACGTGTCTACGTGTATACATTCCCGACGTGTGCACAGAGATGCCCGGTGTCCTAAGGTAGGAGTTGAATAAATACATCCGTGTGGGAGCCAAGGACCCAGACACGGGGAAAGGTGACGTGATTTGCACAGACCAAGCTCCACAAAACGTCTCCGGTATCACATCTTCTGTAAGTTGCCTTTTCCCCAAGTTTTCTTAGAAAAAGGCACATGTTGAGGAGGCTTCACATTAATTAAAGACAAAAGTTTCAGCGTTCTGAGAGCACCAGAGATTATGGTCACATCGTGGGGAGTAAACTGACGCCAGGAGCTCATGGGGGTGCTGCTGTGTTCCTCACGGCGGCTCTGAGGCCGAGCACCTCCTGAATCCTGTACCGTTTGGCAAAAGCTGACAGACAGGAGGGCAGAGCCGGGGGAATTTTCTATGGATTAGCAAAATACAGGTGACACCTGACCGAAAGCATGCAGACAGAGGAAGTCAGGCAGAGACTTACTTGGCAGTAATTTCTTCATCGTATTTGGTTTTCAGGTCAAATAATTCTGTTCGGGTTTTTTCCAGGGCTGAAAGGCAGAGGACACAAAGCCGTAATGTGAGATGCCAGTTGTCCAAATTAAATTAAAAAAGCGAAAATATACAAGCAATATATTCTCATCTGAGGAGTCGAAGATAATGCAAATGCACAGAAGTTCCAAAAACCCCTTCTTTTCCATTTCATCCACACACCTCCTGGGAGAGAACGCCGGTTACTGGCTCGGTGTGCAGATTTCCTGCCTTTATGTGTATTTTATTGCTTAAAAAAATATTTCCATACATAACCGCATATGTACATATTTTCACCTCTGCATAAATAGGAGGCTACAGATATATTCTGAGACTTGTTCTTTTCCTTTAGCAGAAAGGCATGAAAAACTCTCCAGGTCAGGACATAGGCAGTAACAATTAGCTTTCGTACAGAGCTTGCCAAATGCCCGGCACCTCAGGACCCGCAGAAGCGAAGGTTCTGGGGTAAGGATACTTAGATACTCCAAAACAGGCCACTCCCACCCAGCTGGCTCCCCCCCCAGAGGCAATTTACATTCCCATCAATACCGCGAGTGTAGCAATGGTGCCTCTACGCTCACCAACACCGGATAGCATCAATTAAAAAAAAATTCTTTTGACAGTCTGACGGGCAAAACGATCTTTCCCTGATTTAATGAGCATCTCCCTGCCTGGGAAGAATGGTTAACTTTTTTTTTTTTTTCATATGTGTACTGGCCACGTGCATTTTTTCCGCAAACCGCCTATTTGCGTCTCTAGCCCCTGCTTCTATTGGACTGTTTATCTCTTTTTCTTGATGTGTTACTGGTGTTTAGGAGGTCTCTAGATTGGGGGGGGGGGATTATTCACGTGTCTGTAAATGTGCTGTGACTACACAGCACAGCACTCGGTCGGGTGGTTTTCACTTGGATTCTGAGGTCGTCCAATATTTTTGCCCCCACGTTTCAATTCATTATATCGTGCGGTTTCCCTTTCAGAAAGAAAAAAAAAAAAAGAAAAAAGAAAGACAGAGAAGAAAAAAGAAGTGTAAAGAAACGATAAAAACTGTTAGCACACCCTTTTTTTGGTGTCTTAAATTTGAAAGGTCTGCCATGAGTGTTCTTAATTTCGCTCAGGGTGGAAATAAGTGGTTGGTTTTTTGTTTTTTTTTTTCTTTCCTATTATTGTTCCAAATGAAATGTCAGTCCCTGACAGTTTGGTGATTTAGATGTGTTTGTTGGAAAAGGCGCAGGAAAGAAAGGATGGCTTGTGGAAGGATGAAAATGGAATTCAGATCCTCCCGCTTCCGACACCAACAACTCGGGGTGGGCGGCTAACGAAGGGAAGGCGGAGGCGCTGGGGGCTCCGAGGAGTCACTGCTTCGGGGCAACCGGGAGACGGCCCGGAGTGCCCCCTAACTTCGGCCTGCCCTGGACGGACTTTATTAGGATGACGGACAGCACACCTGTCTGCAGAGTCTGGACTTTGTGCTCCGCTTCCTCCAGCTTTGAGGTGGTGGACATCTGTGTCTCCTGCAGCTTTCTGGAAAGGAAGAGAACAAAGCCAAGCTGGTCATCTTGTTTCCCAACGTGAAGGTCTCGTGTGCTCTGCAGCTCGGTGACCGGCAGCTGGCGAGAGGCACACAATCGGTGGCCGCGGACGGTGGGCGCGCGCCCGCTCCCTGATCTTTGGCGCCCCGACTCTGCACCCACGTAGGACCGAATGTGCAGGGTGCATCCTGACGTGTGCTAACTGACGCAGCCGGTTATCTTAAATGTGACTTGTTCTTCAAATGCCAGATATTAAAAAAAAAAACAAACAAACAAACAAACAAAAAAACCCAACCATCATCACGAACTCATTGTTTTCTGAAGTTACCCAAGAAGAATGATACATTTACATTTTGCTGACACAATGAAGGAATTTGTTGGGATAAAGGATGTGCTAATAGATGTGACAGCTGTTCCATGTCTGTTATAATGGAATGCAGATGTGACCGTAATACCTAATGGGTGGTTCTCAATGTCTGAACCCAACATCCCCAGATTTACATTTCCCCTGATCTCCAAATGAATTCCCTGGTCAATAAATAGCATTCCTTGCTCCTCATCTGCAGAGGATGTCTAAAAATAAGTTTATTATTTTTACATCATATGAATAGAACACGTGCGCTCATACTAACAAACCTGGGAATATAGAAAAGTAGAAATTACGGCATAAAAAAAAAAAAAAAATCACCCGAATCTCCATCACCTATGGAAAAAGCCTGCTCGTGTTTTTTGCATATTCTAATGATAAAACTAATAGAGGCTCCAAGTTAAAAAAAAACGAACAAAAACAAAACACATGCACAAATATAGACACGCCAATGTAATATACGAGAGCGTAACATACACTCCCGCCCCTTTGAACACAAAAGGGATCACAGCACACTGGGCATTCTTGCTCTTCTCATTTCCACACTCTGGAAACATTCTTCCTCATTCTTATTAAATAATTAACGTAACCAGCCTCTGTGGACACTTAGCTTGTTTATCGCCTCTTTCTACTAAACAGTTCTGCAGTGATCATTATGTAGATATTGCCGTGTAATTCTGAGATGGAATCTGTCGGATGGAATGCTAACAGAGGATGTATATGGCCACAGAGTAGATGCAATGTGTTGTTGTTGTTCTGATGTTGAGAAACTTCCCCTCCCAAAAAACCTCACTAACTTAAACTCTTGCTAACAATACATGTTTGTTTTCCTGTGCCAACACTGGATAAAATTAAGCCTAATTTTCCTGCTGAGTAAAGCTGAGCATTTCTCTTTGTATGAACTATCTGTACATCTCCTTGGTCCACTTTGTAGCGCTCAATTTTCCCTATTAATTTCTAAGAGCTCTTATGTGGTGCAAAAATTTCTTCCCAGTTTTTTTTTTTTAATTTTTATTTCTTTTCTTCCCAGTTTTTTGATGCTTTTAAGATGTTTATTGTGAGGGGAGCCTGGGTGGTTCAGTGGGTTCAGTGTCTGACTTCAGCTCAGGTCATGATCTCACGGTTCGTGGGTTCGAGCCCCGCGTCGGGCTCTGTGCTGACAGCTCAGAGCCTGGAGCCTGCTTCCGATTCTGTGTCTCCCTCTCTCTGCCCCTCCCCTGCTCATGCGCTGTCTTTCTCTCTCTCTCAAAAGTAAATAAACATTAAAAAAAAAGAAAAAAAATGTTTATTATTATTTATTTTTTTAAAAATTCGGTTTTCAATTAGAAATACCTACTCCCAAGTTACTAAAAACAAAATACTGCCTAAGTTTTCTTCCAGTATGTCCATGATTTAATGATTGATATTTAAACCCGAGAGCCGGGCGCCTGGGTGGCGCAGTCGGTTAAGCGTCCGACTTCAGCCAGGTCACGATCTCGCGGTCCGTGAGTTCGAGCCCCGCGTCGGGCTCTGGGCTGATGGCTCGGAGCCTGGAGCCTGTTTCCGATTCTGTGTCTCCCTCTCTCTCTGCCCCTCCCCCGTTCATGCTCTGTCTCTCTCTGTCCCAAAAATAAATAAACGTTGAAAAAAAATATTTTAAACCCGAGAGCCATTTCAATTTCTTGGTTGTAAAGAATGAGATGGAAAAAAAATCTGTTTTCATCCTCCACCCTGAGTGGTCAGCCTGTCGCTTCCAACTTTAAATATAACTCATCCTCTCACCTAGTTTGAAAAGTCAACTTAATAATATCAAATTCCCAGATGAATTTACTTCCACAATTTTCTAACTTTGCTCTGTGCAGCTGTAATCACACTGCATGTGATTCTGTATCACGCATTTTTCACTCCATATCTTGCTGGATGCGTTTGCGTTTCTGGTCTTAATGCAAATTCTGCATGACTATTATTGCAAGGGCTGCATACTGTTCCAGTTGGGGGTGGCCCATCTTTACCCCCCATGTCTCTTTGGCAGAGGGCATTTTGATTGCTCGCACCCCGCCCCCACACCCCAGTATCAGTAACATGGTAAGAAACTGCTGTGGCCATAAAGTGCTCTCCTGGGAAACACATTTAGGCTGGGTCAAGAATCTGCTCATCTTGGGGCGCCTGGGTGCGTCAGTGGGTTAAGCATCTGAGTCTTCATGATCTCATGGTGAGTTTGAGCCCTGCACCTGCCCCTGTGTTGAGCTCTGCGCTGACAGCGTGGAGCCTGCTTGGGATTCTCTCTCTCTGCCCCTTCCCCACTCGTGCTCTCTCTCTCAAAATAAATAAGCAAACCTAAAAAAAAAAAAAAAAAGTCTGCTCACCTTTCAGAACCTGGACTCTCTACCTGGCTCCCTTCTTTCCTGGGGGGGCTGCACCTGGCCCTGCTCTCCCAGGCCCCGAGGGACTGGCCTTGGTCCCGCAGCCAGGACTTTGGGAGGCGACACAGGAGCCTAAAGGGAGGCCAGGGCTGGAGCAGGGGGTTGGGCTCTGGTCCCACCTCTGGGTGACTAGCTGGGACAGCGTGGGCAGATCCCTAATCTGAAGCCCGGTTTCTCGATCTGGAAAATGAGACCGTCCCCTCTTGAGGAATGTTCTGGGCACTCAGTGAGACACCGGGAGGGCGTGGCACACAATGAGTAGGCACTGGGTGAGTGAATTGGGTCTTGTTAGTTTTCATCAGTTTTTACAAGAAATCTAACCTGCATTAAACTGTCCTAACAATATTAAACTCCCCCGTTTGTGGAAAAGCTCCAGGCGTGGCAGGCCACCAGAAATCCAACGCCCACAGCAGATGGATGGTGCACTAACATATTTTACTGATATCAGCTGCTCGACATACGAAGCACTGTGAGGTAAAGAAAAGGAGGCAAGAAAAAAAAAAAAAAAAAAAAAAAAAAAGCAAGCAACCAACCAACCAAACAAAACCCCAAGATTTGTGGGTGATGTCAAATATCCAAATTCTTTTCGGAAGGTGTCAGGCGTTGAGCCTGCATCCAAGGGCTTCCCACAGAGGGTGAACCGTCATTCCCTGTCATCTCACTTTCTGCTCAATCCCCGGCCCCAGGTGACCCCAACGGACATACCGTGGCCCCTTAACTACCTGACGCCATCCACCTGTTGGGAAAGACCAACGACTGTCACTCAAGGTAATCTGACAGATCAGAGAGTAAGGGACGCCTTTATCCTTCAAACAAAATTCTGCTGAGAGCCCCACAGAACTGCGCTGGTCTCACAGGCCCATCTTCAATACTTCTCGAAAAGTGGGGGCGCCTGGGTGGCTCTGTCAGTCGAGCGTCTGACTTTTGATTTCGGCTCAGGTCATGATCTCACGGTTCGTGAGTTCGAGCCGCACGCCGGGCTCTGTGCTGACAGTGTGGAGCCTGCCTGGGACTCTCTCTCTCCCTCTCTCTCTGTGCCTCCCCTCATTCTTTCTCTCAAAATAAACAAACAAACTTAAAAACAACAACAACAACAACAGATACTTCTTGCATTGTGAACTTGGGAGGTAAAAAAAACGTCAAGTGCGGGCAGATGCTGATAGACACTCACCTCTCCTTTTCTGCAAAATCATTTTGTAACTTTTGTTCCTTTTCGAGAGCTATAGTCTCCGCTTGGTTCTTCAGAGTCTGTTCATATTCTCGGATTTTTTCTTTAAGTGCTTTTATCGTAACCTCTGCAGAAAGGGGAAAAACCAGCGGTGACACAGGAGCACAATTCCATGAGGTGACACACACGGGGCTTTTGTAACCTACTAGGATCGCTGTGTTTTAAACTTTGGCTCCTCAACCCTGACACAAAATCAATGGTTACGAGTCCCTTCGGAGGCCTTTTACTCCCTAAATGTTAAATTGAACTTTAAACATTTAGGCTGGGAGGATCAATGGATTTTGCTCAGAAGAAGAGCTATCGTTTCTCCAATACAACTTTAAAAAAAAAGGGGGGGGGGATCGATGGTAACATAGAATATCATCTTATTGATGAGCTTTAAATTAGTCCTCGACCGAGAGAAGATTAATAACGTTTTTGTGTGGTTGAAGTCTTTCTCTAAAGAAAACAGTTCATGATTGTGCGTGCGTTTTGGAGGAAGCGGTTTTAGCCAAAGTCAGGCGGGTCCACAGACCTCCCCGGCCGTGGGCTCAGCAGGGATGGAACACTACGTGCCAGGTGGGTGCGGCGCAGATCTCTGCTAGAAGGGTGCAGCTGCAGCCTGGGTGCCAAGGGCACCCTCCCCCAGGCCGGAGTCTGGCGGGTGGGGGCTGTGTGTGCAGGGCAGGTGGCACAGGGCCCGGGGGAGCCACATCTGAGGGAGAGCGAGTGCCAGGCGCACGGGTGGCAGTGCTGGACGACGGAGGAGCCCTGCGGTGCTCAGTGCTGGGGACACAAGGGCCCTCCGGGGGCAGGGCCGTCCCTGGAAAGTCCAGCCCTCCCCCTGCCCCCCGGAGTGCATGTTTACAGCCCTCGCTTTCACTACCCAAAATGGAAACGCCGGGGCAGATGTAACGGACAGGGCGGGGTCCTGCCTCAGACCCCTGGCTGGCTCGCTGCACCTGCTCCCTCCCACAGGTACCCGCATATCACCCTCTGTGCCAGACGGTCCCGGGCAGGGCACTGTGGTCCCAGCTCCAAGGAGAGGCGAGCTCCTGGGCAACCACGCCTGCCGTGCATAGATCATCGCGTAGAAGGCCAGGCCAAGGAAGGGCTGAGGCACAAACGAACGGAGGAGGCCAGGCAGGCTGACCGGAGAGGCCCAGGTAGGGCTTGTGACAACGAGGCTCGGGGCCCAGGCCGCAGCGCTGGCTGCCAGGTCTTTGCCCAAGTGACAGGGGCCCCTGGCCGTTCAGGTTGTAGCCCACATCCACGCTTACTCCCTGCGCTGCACGGACGTGCCGGCTGAGGCAGGTGCACACCGCTGGGCGGTCAGCACCCGTGTGGCTTAGTGGGTAAGAGCGAACGGCTCTTTTGTTAAGAGAAGCAATTGGCCCTTTTCATTAAGTGGAACCCAAAGGGTTCTCCTTAGAGGGAGAGAGAGGAAATTAAAACCAGTGACCCCGTCAGGGCATCTGAAAGAAAAAGAGGGGGGCTTTCTGCCTTTGGGGCTGGCTGTTCGGGGCCTGAAAGAAACACTCTGAGACCCTAATGGCTAGTGATACATACACATCACTGTCGACCCACAGTGACAGGGCCAAAGTCGGGCAGGAATGAACACTTCCCAAGCGGACACTGCGACAGGTCAACTCTGCAAACACATGCGTGTTCTTTTACGTCAATGATCTCTGTGGCCGTGGGAACGTCTAGCACATCTGCCTTTCACAATTGGTTGGAAAGATCTACACAGCCCGCGGACCTCCGGGCTCCGTCCAATGCGGTTTCTCAGTGTGACACAGCTATGCTCCTTCCAGAGGAGTCTGCGGCACTAGCTGGAGGCTCCCACTCTGTCTGAGGAGGTCTCTCTTTGCCATCCCCACCAGGGGTGGGCTGCTCGCTGGCCGACCGACGCTAAGCCAGGGGCCAGCTTGTCCTGGAGCCCCTGGGGCCCCTCTGGGTCCAGGACGGCCCCCTGGGTGTGTCCCAGCAGGATCCTGCACGTGTGAGCCCAGGAGGAGGAAGAACAGCCTGGCAGAGAGAGGATCCCAGCGCTCTGCTCTAATCAGCTGCGCCTGGGCGCCAATGGACTCATCTTTAAATGGCGGGGAGAGTTCCAGCACGTGAGAGAGAGATGCCTTTCCCGCAACTTTCTCAGTCTACACCACGGTGGCGATGATAAAAACAAATGATGTACACCCCACCTTTCCAAATCAAAATCCCTGTGTACTGGGAAGTAAAGAGAGGAAGTTGACATTTTTTTGGATGTTGGGAAAATCGGTAAAGATATCAATAAATAAAGAAGCGGGGGGAGTGGGAATTTCTAGAAAAAAACAACGGTGCCTAAGAGTCATTAATATTTGCTGAGTGTTGGGAAAAGTGCTAAACGCCTCCCCAGCACCCCATGTAAGCCTACCCCAATCCTAAGAGGTCAGTATGCAAAAGGAGGATTTTCAAGAGGTGAGATCACGTGATCACTTGCTCAAGGTCTCAGAGGTACACAGTGGCATCGAAGCCTCTCAAACCAGGTCTGTTTGCCTCTGGAGTCTTTGTCTTAAGTTATTTCATTTAAAAAAGCCCATCAGGGGCACCTGGGTGGTTCAGTTGGTTAAGCACCCAACTTCGGCTCTGGTCATGATCTCGCAGTTCATGAGTTCGAGCCCCGCATCGGGCTCTGTGCTGACAGCTCGGAGCCTGGAACCAGTTTTGAATTCTGTGTCTCCCGCTCTCTCTGCCCCCCTGCTCACGCTCTGTCTCTCCATCTCTCTCAAAGTCTCTCAAAGATAAATAAATCCTAAAAAAAAAAAAAAAAAAAGTTTTTTTTTTTTTTTAAATAATATAAAAAAAAACCCCATCAGAGGGGTGCCTGGGTGGCTCAGTCAGTTAAGCGTCCAACTTCGGCTCAGGTCATGAGCTCACAGTTCGTTGAGTTCGAGCCCCGTGTGGGGCTCTGTGCTGACAGCTCGGAGCCTGGAACCGGGTTCGGATTCTGTGTCTCCCTCTCGCTCTGCCCCTCCCCTGCTCTTACTCTGTCTCTGTCTCTCTCTCAAAAATAAACATTAAAAAAAATTTTAAGAAGAAAAAGGCCCATCAGATGAGGCCTCTGGGGAGGAGGACACCCCACACTCAGTTACAGTTCCTCGCTGGGCAACTGGCCACTGGGGTGCTGACAGAGCTGTGTGGTGGGGGAAGGGGGCCACGCAGAGCCCCGGGCCCCCCCGCACGTCCTCCAACGAAACGAAATCGAACTACAGAAAACACACAGGGCGGGCCTGTTAAAATGAGATGTCAGGGGTCACGGGAGGGAAAAAAGAAGCACCTCCTCTTGGGACAGTGTGGCACCCATACCCGGATGTATGCATTTACAGCTTCTCTCTCACCTGCGTGTGGGGGCGGGGCGGGGGAGGCAGCACCTTCTGGCACCTGGATCCCAGCCCACTCAGTCCAACACCTCCCTCTGAAGCGGGACGAAGCTGTGTGGAAGCGCCCCAAAGGCTCACTGCTCCCTGTGGAGCCGGATGGAGGTGGGGCCTCGGCTGGTTCCGTCCCCCCACCACGGGGGAAGGGGGGCATCCTCGGGACTGCACCTCGAAGCCTGTCTCGTGGTCTCAGAGCTAAAGGACACTTCAAGGCCCTTCAACAAGTAATCCCGTGTCCAGCCCTCGGGGCGTCTTAGACCCGCTAAGGGGAAGCCCTCCAAGTCGCCCAAGCAGTCAGCCTCCCGCACCCAGCTCCTCCCGCATCTGCTTCGAGGAGGAGCTGTGATTTGTGATTTTCGAGAAGGAGCTGAACACAGCTGGATTTTAGGTGCAGGGGGGACTCTGTCCTTCCCTGACAGGAAAAGCCGGGCAACCTCTGCCCTCTCTACCGGGGCTGACGGCCGGGCGGCCACGCCACGGGGTTGTTCCCTTTCATTAAACTTGTAACAAACAGGCGCCGCCGACAAGGGGACGGTGGGGCTTAGGCACGCGGGCTTGAAGGATGCGTCTGAAGCCCTCGTGTCCCGGCAGCCATCGCTAACTGACTTCCTGGACGGGGCCCTTTGATCACAGGCTGGCTCTCTGGCAGGTGTCGCCCGCAGGCGACACGGTGGCCTTTTGAAAGGCGGATCCTATGGCAGGATGATCCAGAAAGAATGTTAAAGAATCCCGGCCGGTCCTGTCACAGGGCCAGAAAATCATATGTAGCTATGGCGCTGAGGAAAAGTTCCACCTCCCAACAGCTAAGCGTCACCATTCTCTCTCTTCAATGAGGCCGATGGGGGCCCCACCCGGCCTTCGCGTTGTGTAGCCCGGTTCGAGCTCCGCTAGTCACAACAGGGTGGGGAAGGCAATTAGCAGCAGGGAAAAAAGAAAGGAAAGACAGAGCGGAGCGCACAGTGCATCTCCCACCAACCTTGGTTTTTCACTTCAGCGAATTCCTTGTTGTACTCTTCCAGAGTTTCCCGCAGCTTCTGGTTCTCTGTTTCAATGTCGTGCAGACGCTGCACTTTGAGCTGGAGTTGCTGCCCGAGGTCCAGAGCCGGCACGGGATCTGCGGGAGGGGAAAACGCACGTCACCCCCACTCTGGACACAAGACGAGCCACTTTCACGGTCACACGGAGGCTCGGGGCAGGCCAACCGGGGTGCCCAGGGAGTCGCGTCGCCCCCCACCGCCGGCTCCCCACGGGCTGCCACCGCTTGCCAGAGGCCAGGGCACCTGTGGCCTCAACACCCCCTGTCCGCCCCCAAGCCCCCAGCGGAGCCCCGGGCTGCACGGCTGGCTGGTTGGGGTCGCTCCTCTGCGGCCTACCAAGGACATGTGCGCAGAGCCACCCCCCGGGGCCGCAGCGTATGGACTCGGCCTGGGAACGGCTGGGATTTGCCCACTGCTCTGGCATGGTATGACACCGGAAGGACTTCTCGGTCCTTGATCTGACGGACAGGAAGGGGATGCATGTGGTGACGGCAAGTGGAGGAGCCCCGGGAAGTCAACCCCGTACCGAGAGCCGCGCCTGCAGGATGGACAGCGCGTGCGGAGGTCCCGTAAGCCTCAAGTTTCCCATAATTCTTACGAAGCTGGAAAAAACACCTGATACTCCGAGAGCGTCTTGCCGTCACGAGACACCCTGATGGACATTATCTCACTCGAGCCTCACAGCAATCACGGGAAGAGGATGTGCGGGCCAAAGCGCCGGTAAGCGCACGGACTTGCCCGAGGGTTCCCGGCTAGTGAGCGGACAGAAAGAACTCGAACCCAGTCTGTTAACTCCACGTGACCATCCTCCCAGTGAGGAAGGTTCCCTGGTGGAGCGGAGGACATCAACGAGGGCTTCCTACGAGGCCACCCTATATAGGGCATTATGGCTCCCCACTGCCGTCCTCCTTTACCAGGGAAGGGTGCTCCGAGGGGGAGTCAGGGCTCAGCACGTGGTGATCTGGCTTCTGCTTTTCCCGAGACACAGCTGGTGACCTGGCCCAGTGTGAGCCTGCCCAGGCCAGCGGGCCAGCCAGCAGGGGGAAGGGGGAGGGAGCACCGCACTCCTGATTATAGTAGGGAAGGGACAAGACAGCACCTGGGCTGGCTAGGTGAGGTCCCGTGGCCAATTCAACATACAACCTGCCATCAGATTTACTTACAAAAACCTGGAATTTAACCTAAAATTAGAGACTGCACACACACGGAATTGAAAACACGGACTCCTGGTCTTCGACTTTATCATTAATTCAGCCCGAGATGGAGAGGCGTTAAATGTTCTTCTGGAGTCGATCGGATCTTTTGTTTCTCCTTCTGCCTAAAAGGCACGTCTGGGCACCTGCTGGGCACCAGCGGAACACTCTGCCCTAGCGTTCTCGGCCCCGTCAGAGAGAAGTCTCTAAGTCCACTGGGCTTAGAAGAGATCATTGAAGATATTTCTGGAATGGACGCCAGCATCACTTGTGAGGTGGCTGCGAAGATTTAGTCTCTGGTTGAGGAATGCTAAACACCGAGCCCAGTGGATCCGCAAGGGTGTATATTCAAGAGCTCACTTAATTTTCAAATACCAGAGTCATTAATTTTTCAGACCACCCTCAGTTCCTGGAAGCGAGGGTAGATCTCCCGTGCCTCAGTCGGCCAGTCCGCCGGGAGCCAGGAACTCCGTGAGATGCCAACGCCTTTGCAGAGTTTACAAAAGGCAGGCTCTGGGATCTGTCCAGCACAACAGTGGGCCTGCGCGTGGGGCTTAACATAACACTGTCCCTCACGTGACGCCCCTGGCCACTGGGCATTTATTCTGTGTGTATATACAGTTTATGACTACACCACTTTCTCATTTGTGGCTTTTCATTCTTATTTTAATCAGCATTAAAATATTTACATTAAATTAGGTTTCAAAGCTATTTTGGCGAAAATGGTTCCTTCGAAGTAGGGGTAGCAATAGCACTAGAGACTGAATTCCTCAGAACATTCCAGGTGCAGTTTTTTGGTTGTGTTTGTTCATTTCAAGATCTTTCCGGGGTACGCTCCTATGCGCCCCACACTCCCCCAACCTCTACCTTTTTTACCCTTCTTCCTATGGCCTCACACTGGGCCACTGGCCTGCAGAAAACAAACAGTCTGCCCACAGCCACCTTCATATACAACTACAATGTGACCTTGACCCCGAGGTCAGAGAAGGATGGAGAAGAAGGAGCACTGTTGCACTTGGATAACATTCTTTAATTAACGTTCGCGCACGTAGGCTTTGTGGCACAACAGCCAGCACAAATTATATTTTTGAAGAGCCAAGCTAGTATACTGCCCTTTCCTTCCCTAAAATTTCTGTCGACAACTTTTCTAGCCCATTCCTTTTATTTATTTTTTATTTACTTTTTTTTTCAACGTTTATTTATTTTTGGGACAGTGAGAGACAGAGCATGAACGGGGGAGGGGCAGAGAGAGAGGGAGACACAGAATCGGAAACAGGCTCCAGGCTCTGAGCCATCAGCCCAGAGCCCGACGCGGGGCTCGAACTCACGGACCGCGAGATAGTGACCTGGCTGAAGTCGGACGCTCAACCGACTGCGCCACCCAGGCGCCCCTAGCCCATTCCTTTTAAAAGGCCAAGACCCACTGTGTCTGCTTCGAATAGAAAATCGCTTCTCTCGTTCGATTGAGCGAGGAACTCAGTGACATATAAAAGTAACATGCACGTTATCGAGTGAATGGTAACTAGACCTTTAGACGAATTTTCAAAGCCTTCTATTGTAAATGAAAATTCTGGCAATCTCATAATTATTCATTAGGCATGTATATTTAATTTAACACTATTAAAGGTTAATGCCTAAGTAGCAAAACTGGTCACAGAATAAAGAATGAACCGAATGTTCCAACATCCCCGTGCATTAAGCTTCAAACTTTACTATAGTACAGCTGGATGGCTATATGCCTACAGCATTTGAATATTGTTTTGGATTATGTAAAAGGCGTTGCTAAAGTACCTCTTAGGCTTAATTTTTATTACTTGTATTAAAGGAACAGCTAATTACCACATGACAATATAATGACTCTAGCATGTTTGGGCTGGAGACCAAAACAATGAATCCCGACATGCCAAACCCCAACCTGCATGTTAATCTAGGGGAAATCATGGCTTTTTGTCTTGTTAATGACTCCCCGTGCCATTAAACCCCACACAAGCATTGTTGGGTCTCATTCTGAACGTCACAAGCCTCCAACCTCAGCAGCTCAATTAGGGAATTGTCTGGGGGAGGCCAGAGAACACACCCAAGCGAGGAACAGGAACACAGCAAATCCTGCAACCCGGCTGCCGGGCCTCCTCCAGCTCAACACGCTTTACCGTCAGTTCCATCCACCCAACGTGACAAACTTGCCAAGTGTTTTACAGCCACCCAACAGTTAATTCCTAAAGCACTCTTGGAGGCATTGCATAGCTCATCACGCAGCCCCGGACTCAGAACGTAACTACAACAAACAACAACAATACCATCACCTGTATTTATTCAGCACCTTCTCCCAAGTACTTGTAACAGGACCTCATTAATTCCAGCATCACAGTCAGAGGGGAAAGGGGGCGCCGGCACCCCACCCGGGGACAGGGGGAGGAGAGACGCCGCCTGGGCAAACAGGCACGCACAATTCTAATTAAGATCTCTGCTTCCCGAACCACCAGTCACCTAAATTACACTGTCTCGTCGAGTACGAATTTAACAAGTATTTCCTACTCATCGGTCTGCGCCAGGCCCGGCCCAGGTGAGGCACTGGACAGGGCATTCAGCTGATTCAGCTGGGACCATGCCTCACAGTAGAGGGAAACCAAGTTCACAAATGACAAAGGGAAAGCAAGGAGGGCCACCCGGAAGATCAGATGAGGGGAAGACCACTCCCAGATG